GGAAGAAGGAATTTGCTGCATGACTTGATAACTCAATCTTGTGACCAGAACGTACATTTTCAATCCAGACCGTGACACAGAGGGGCTAAAGAAATAAGAGCAGAAATGCAGATAAAATAATGAAAATAAGAAATTTTCTGTACGATTTCATGTTACCCTTGTGCAGTGGTCCCTAAAACTCTTTGCTGGAATTAGACAGTGGAGATTAAACTGGTGTAAACTGAAATTGTCTGTTATGATTCACATATTGTGAGTATACATACTGTCTGAGAAGTGGTTAAATCGTACGTGCATTGTGTCTGGTTCGTATCCCTTGGGGCTGACTATTAGATTATTTGGATCAACAGCAGTTATAGGTGTGTGAAAAGTTGAATTAGAATTTTTTTTTCTCCACTTAGATTGTTATGTAATTGTACAACTAAATTACATTTTGCCAAGCACTGATTGTGACGAAGTTCCCTTCGCCACTTGTGCCTGGAGGGGACTACTGGCTAGCCTCCTGCCTTCCGACTATGGCCCCATGTTGAAACGCTTGATTTTCCCCTGCGAAGACACGAAAGCCGGGTCATTCGGTACTTGCCCTGTTTGAGCGGTGATACCCCAGATAGCTATGCCATGGAGCCCATTCGTATAATGAAAGACTATGGGAAAGACTTTGGCTCCATGGCAATTGAACTGTATGTGTGTGCTCTGAGCGCCATTCAGTAATAATGTGCGCTCAGATCTGAGCTATCTGGGGATATGTTGAATGTACCTGTTTTGTGCAATGGCTGCACAGTTATATATTTTATGTGTTTTATTGTCTTTTGCTGCCATGTGTTCAATGGAGTTTTGCCTCTGTCCTTGGAGATAATTGGATTACTTCCCAATTATCTCTAGGATAGAAGACTCTGTGGAACTGGTTTTGGGCAGAAAAGCCATGCTTCATTTGGTCACAAAGGACTTTTGACTAACCTTTGAACTAGTGGAAGGATTTGCATGATTTTTGGTTATGTTTATATTTAAAGTATGCTGATTCTGAATATGTATGTTTTATGTGACTATGATGCATATTTTTAAAGTTGCAGTATATGTGTAAAAAGTGTATTTTCCTGCCTGTGATAAATTACATTAATTACATTGTGTTCAGTAATTATATCACAGGCAGAGGGGAGGGATTGTATGTTGGTGCTGGGTGTGTTTTACGGTTTTCCTGTAAACGATTGGTTGTACTGTGTCCCACCCTGTGGGATGTCCCCTTGCATGGGGACTTGCATAAAAGCCAGTGTGTGGTCATTAAAATCAGATCATCTTGTACCTTTCTTGAAGCCTTGGCTCATGTTTGGGGGATTGGAGAACTACACTCTGGGGATTGCTATAATCACTATACTCCCCAGGGTATGAACACTAAGCTCTGCTAAGAGCTTGTTCCTGTTCCTGCTCTCTGGGGAAAGAGAGGTTCACCCACTGGAAGCTGGATCCTGGCCTTGGGTCCAGGGTGGGTGGAGACAGCGAGACCCCAGCGCAGCTGCATTGCTGGAAGTGGGGTCTGCAGTGCTGATGGTGTCGGTTGGAGTGCTTGGTCCTCAGCGAGCAGTAGGAGCATCGATTGGCGGAGGTACTCAGTCGGAGTGCCAGCGGTCCATCACACTGATCTATTTATTTTTATAAATACTCTAGCAAATTCTGGTTCCAGCATCACAATAACAACTGATGCTACAATGGGTACACTGTACATTGCAATGTTTCTTGAAGAATGTTAATACTTAAAGGAACACTCCAAGTACAAAAACAGCTTTAACTTAATGAAGCAGTTTTGGTGTATAGATAATGCATTCTCACTGCTCAATTCTCTGCTATTTAAGAGTTATATCACATTTATGCAGCTCTAGTGACCTCCTCTCCCCCCCTCCCCACTGCATGTGACCTTCACAGTATCCTCACACATTTCCTGTAAAGAGAGATCTAATGTTTAAACTACCTTTATTGCACAGTCTGTTTAATTAATTTATTTTTTCCTGCTCTGGTAATAGCCTGCTAGAGAGGGCCCCCGGTGTGTGATTAAAGTTAAATGGCAGGAGATTAAAAGCTTCTACAATAAACACAGTATGCTGTAAGATCTGATTTAAAAAAAAAAACATATTTCATGTTGGCTGTGCAAGCCAGGGGAGGTGTGACTAGTGCTGCAAAATAAAATAGAGAACTGCATGGGCATGATCTATACACCAAAACTGCTACATTAAAGGGGTATGCCAATGTCCATTACCAATACTGCTTTTAGAAGTGGTCCTGGAGGAAGGATGGTACATGTGCAGTGTTGCTGCTTAAAACTCTGTATATACAGAGATATTTGCAATGTTGTGCTGGTGGATATATGCAACATGTGGCTTAGGCACTCTGTAGGGACTTTGTAGGTTTTATCTTTAATTTACAGCCTTTGGCAGTTAAAATGATTGGGTGGACAAAGTCACTAATTGCCCTTTAGGTCATTAAAAAATTAAAAAAGATATTGATAAAGGGTTAGAGTAGCCATTTAAGCTAAAGTGGTTTTGGTGCTTTAAGTAACCCTTTAAATGGAATACAAAAGCTAATGTACATCTGAGTACTTATATTCAATTATTTGCACATATTGTGGTTTTTTATTCGATAAAAGCTTCTATATAAAGAGGGGACCTATTCACAGAGCTCCCACTGGGTGATTGTGGATCCTAGCTAGAGAGGGCTTGCCTGCATGGATTAGGGTTTTATTATGAGACGGTTACGTAGTGTGGACTTATTGCAACCATGACCCTAATAAATTGCTGTATCTCTCGTGCAGAGAGAACTTGCTGGCATTTCGGATCTGGACTGCCCGTATGGGTGGGACCAGTCTGATATGTTTCACATATGTTCTCTCTGTAATGGCACAAGATGAGCTAAAACCAGCTTGAGTTCTGAGCTGGGACCCACCGAAGGGCAGGCTATTTCAGCTGCTGTCTGTTCTCAGAATACTCTTGCGACCCGTTTTTTTGCTAACACAAAGCATTGAACAGGATTTGTATTATTCTCACCATTGTCCATGGACATTACTGTAGCGGCAAATTTGTGTTATTAATCCTCAGTGACGTATCTT